GTTTGTAGCAGGTGGCCAGCTGCTTGCATAAATTACCTAGGGCAGGAGTGGGGCTGGGGCCGCAGAGCTGGTACAGTTAGTATAGACTTCCAGAGCCATCCCTGGAAGTTCTGGTTTGGTAGATCTGGGGTAGAGCCAGTAGTTTGTATTTTGAACAAGCAGTTCTCTGTAATGAAGATTTAGCTCAGAACTGCTCAAAGTTTAGATGCATAAGAGTCATGGAAGAACCCATTGAAAATGCAGATTCTCCTTTATTTTTACAATCAGTGTCATTACAAGGGTCAAAGGTTCCTCTCTCCCAAAACAGTTTTGTTCTTTCCCATCATTATCTGACCTTGATCACTGTCTGTGGTGGGTTTCCCTGCCTCAATGTTACCCCCCTGCTCTTTTTTGCTTGGTGTACAGTACTCAGTTCTCACATCATTTTTCCTGTCCACACTGGGACCCAAGTGGTCTGAGTTTACTATTCTAAAGGTTCCTCCGGCTGCTTACGTTGCCTTTCTGCCCTGATATAAGTGCATTAAACATCACAAAAGGTGCTTAACCGAGTGGAACAAAATGGGATGTTTGTGCTTGGAGAGTGAGCTCCACACAGACTGCAGCTTCTAAAGCAGGAAATTAAAAACTTGAGAGGGAATCAGAGAGAGAACTATTTGTTATGGCCCAGAAAAGAGTTTTCGAGAAAATGCTGCAAACTGAATTAAAGAGACAGCCAGGCCAGAGCCCGCTGAAATATAACCTACTCTGAGATCACCTGCATGATTTTTATCCTGAACTTCTCTGCGAGGCCTGAGGACAAAGAAAACTGAAGGTCAGTGAGTAGCCCCTGCTAGTCCCTCTGCGCAAGCCCAGGCTTCCGTGTGCCTTAATGAAGAGGATGGTGCCGTGAAAGCCACTGTGGTGTGTCCATGCTGGCTGTCCTCTGCCTTCGTTCCAATAGTCCTTGGATTCCACTGGGAAACCATGAAATTCCTGAGCAGGTCTTTGATGTGTGCCATGGAAGGAACATATCATTTCTGCCAAACCAACTCTTCTATCCAGTGATTAGTTCAGAGAAAATCATGTGCCAGAAGCCGGTCCAATCAAAGTATACCTTAGCACTTCTACTAGAAATTCTGGGACACAGATTTTCTCTCCTGGTGTGAATAGTGTGGTGTACATATGTGCCTATAACTTACCCTGTGCTGTGGACAAGACCAATACAGAGAAGAGAGCTGAGAGAATTGTGGAGAAATGGAGCTGGAGCCCTGTTCAAACTGTGCCTGCAGCCTACCCTACCACAGGACTTTTAAAGTTCCTGGTGTGAAAGAAAAATGCATTCTGTTTATTGCTTAGGTCAGTTGGAACTAAGTTTTCTCTTACTCACTACTGAAAGTGTCTTAACTCAGATTTATAGTTCACACCTTTGAGTTATCAAAACACTTTCTCAGTTGATGACAGTTGAGCCTAACATCAAGCCTATGAGATAGGAAAAGTATACTTATCACCTCCATTTTATTCAGTTGATTCCTGGTCTTCTGACTTCCAGTTCTGAGGCTTTCTCATAGCATAACCCTGTGCAGGAATGATATTCATCCCAGTGAATTCCAGAAGCACAGTGTTCTGTGACATTTTATTTGCCCGTCTCACATCAATTCCTCATACTACATCCTCTTTTTAAATAAAACTCACATTTTCACTTTCTTTTCTATCCTCCCCTGTATCCTTCCCTTATGATCCAATTTTGGCTAATTAAACTTAAGGGAAGTCCCTTAGGAGATGCTTTGAGGCGCTCCAGGGAAAGGGCTTTTTCCCCCCTTTCTCTCTCTTTCTTTCTCCTCTGTCCCCACCCATCCTATTTTTAAATAAGGCCATGATGCTGAGGGCCATGGCAGCCATCCTGTGAGCGGCATGAGGAAGTAAGCCAGTTTGCCAAGGATGGAAGAGATTGACACCATGGGGCAGCTGAATCAACACCAACAATCCCCTTCCTCCAGAATTCTGGTTGTGTGAGAAAAGTAACACCTATTTGTTTAAGCCATAGCGAGTAAAGTTTTCCAATATTTACAGCATACATACTGGTGCCTGGCAAAATTAGGCAATTTTCCTTCGAAGGAAGGTATCTGGCCAGTATGAGCCAATATTTCCTTCAAAGAAGATAGATGTATTCAAATCAAAGCATAGGAAGCTATGAATTTGGCAGCTAATTTGGCCACTGCATGGTGTTCTTCTAATTTCTGTGCTGTCCTCTTGGGGCCCCTCAAGGCTACAGCAGTCTCTATGCTATGGTCAACACTGCATCCTTTCCTCTTTCCAAGGGAGCCCTTAGGTATAATCATGTAATTACTAGACCAGTTACTCAAACTGTACCACCGTTAGGACAAATTACTGTGAGTAATACTTTGCTCTTCTCTGAGACACATGGACTTATATATCCACAGTCCTTTTAAGGGCTCAAGGTACTCTTCTCTCATTGAGATACCCTGTCTGCTTCTGAGGTCCACAGAAAGCAAGCAGGTATTTAAGATGAAAAAAAGCATATACTGTGGTGGGTTAGGGAGACCCGCTCCTTTGGAATAGAACCTTCTAATAACTGGTTGTCTGTTAATTATGGTTGCTTTAAGTCATATTCTTTTATTGATAGAGACCCTTAGTGGACTGTTGGCGAAAGTGGTACAGAAATATTAAGTAGCATTGACTAGAGCTTTAAAGCAAGTAGGGAAGACCAAAAAGAGGTCCCAAAGCCCATTTCCCAGTGGAGAGATGTCTCCCAAATCTTCTTTATGTGATTGCAGACTTATTTGACCATGCTCTTGATTACTGAACCCTTGCACCAAATAACCTGTTGGACAGAATGCATATTCATTTTTATGAGGGAGAGCCAAGAGCTTCACCAGAGCTCATAGGAGAGAACTCATAAATCCACCCTGCAGAGAGTCCAGCAAGCCTTTGGTAACATTTCATGCTGGCTCTCTGTGGGCTCAGTTGCTCTTCTATGCTCAGCAGAAGGGGGACATCATCAATTTTGGCAGATGTGGCTAGCAGTGGATGCCATGGGTGTCTAGCATCGGAAAATCACAATGTCAATATCCTACACCAGTATCTACAGAGATTTTCCAGTATGGTCTATCCAGAGTCCTGGAAGCAACCCCAAATGGACAGTTGAAGAGGGACCTTGAGTGGCCTTTGTTATAGTTACCAAAAGACTGGTTTTATTTCAGAGGCAATTAAATTAAAATGTTTATTAGAGTGAAGGTCTCCATCCTGTATTTCTTTCTGGCATTCAGCCTTCTGAAAGACTTAAGAATCCTTGTAATGTATAGGGGTGGACATAAACACTGAGGTGTGGGATGGTGGTGTTATAAATCATTAACTGATCCATAGTGGTTTGTAGCACTTTAAATCTGCCTTATTCTCGAGCAGAAATATCATGTTATCCAACTCCTTTTCAGTATCATTATTATTGAATGTAAAAAAAAATAAACAGTTCATTGAAACAATAGATATAGCTGCAAATGGTATAAGCAGGAATTGCCCATCTAATGCATACATTACAGAAAAGTTTCATTTAATCATTCATATAGCAAATATTTATTTAGCACGTATTATGTGCCAGGTAGTGTGTTTAGACTATAGGAAAAAAAAAAAACAAAGACATAGCTTCTGACTTCAAGGTTGTCTCAGTCAGTTTGGGTTGACAGAAAAGTCAAGATAATTACAAGATCTTTTGCCATCAGGATTATCCTAACAGGGAAAAATTAATGCTTGGTTTTTTTCTCCAACTCTTCCCTTAGCCTTTACATCTATCCCAATCAGACTAGATGTTTTTCTGCTTTTCCTTTCCTTTTCTATTTTCTTGATTTCTTTCCTTTATGTTTCCCCTTTGAGATCATAAGTCTAATTTTAGTTCCCAGTCATTCTTTAATAGGGGTAGCATCCTAGGCGGTCTATGTTTGATGTTTTTGCTCTCCTGTGATATGTCATACTTAATTAACTGTCACCTTCACTATTAATATTAACTGAGATATTAATTTGATGAATTTTAATTTCTCTTAATCATAGCATCATTTTGATCCTTCATTGGATACTTCTTTAAAATGATAAATGATACACAGTGCAGGAGGGACATATTAATAGTACATTAAAGTGTTTTTAAAAAACTCTTTAGTAATTGCATGTTTTCCTGGTAAGAATATCTGTTTCTTGAACAGGTGTAGGCACCCTGATTCCTTTGTTAGTAAATGGATGTTTTGTCTTGATCACCTCCTGACTCTGTTTTGCACTTTCAAATGAAAATACTTTCAAATTTAAGAAATGTTTCTCTCCAGAAGAATTCTCCAGGGTCTGCTGCATTATCTGACTGGCAAGGGCTCTGTACTATTAATGGAGGCATCAAAAATATAAATGTGAAGGTTTGGTCTGTTTGGTAGCAGAATCTGTAAAGAGCTGGTGCCCAGGAGGAAAGAGCTGAGTCCAAGGGTAACTAAACTATCAAAAGAAGTCTGATCTATTTGCAGACTGTTTTTTCTCTCTTTTCCTCTTATTCATTAAAAAATTTTTTTTGTTTTTCTATAATTCCTTCTGCATCCCCCTCCACCCTCGTTGTTGTCCTGCATCCTTCCGGCACTTCCCCATCCCTCCATATACATTGAAAAACTGATGAAGATGCCCACGGATTGCCTCCCTCAACCCCCCACATCTCTGAGACATGATTGGCACAGAGATTAAACCTGATGCATTTTTATGATGAGTAGCATCACTCAAGCCCAGTCACCTGGATGCTGGAGACCCAGGAACACAATCATTCCTGGCTCCTTGGTTCTGATGTGGGCAAGTGATGTCAGATAATGGCTGTTTTCAGGCCTTCAGTTCCCTTAGGAAAGGGAGAATGACAGGAGCCCTCCTTCCTTCCTAGTCCCAGGATCGTGGCAGGGAGCATTTTGAGCCCAGAAGGCCAGGAACTCAGGGAAGACAAAGACAAGTATGGTCACACAGGCAGCCTGCAGCTGGGGCTCACTCACCTCCAGGTACACCACCCAGGGCATCACCAAGGTGGCCACCAGCAGGTCTGCCACAGCCAGGCTCACCACCAGGTAGTTGGTGGTGGTCTGCAAAGCCCGTTCCTTCAGCACTGCCACACACACTAGACCATTGCCGAAGACGATGGCCAGGATGAGCGCACAGTAGGAGAGTGCATAGTAGGCATGTGGGTGGCCCTGGCTGGCCGCTGTGGAGTTCTCTGCCCCACAGGTGGAGTTGATCTGGCTGCTCAGCTGGTTCAGAGGCGCCATAGCCCAGAGGGAGAAGAGTGACCCCAGTGGATTTCCTGGGAGGAGACAGAAAACAATGTTGGTAAAACTGGACTCTTTGGAGCTTGGCTGCTTGGGTACATTTTTATGTATTGTTTCAACAAATATTTATGGAGCACTTCCTATATGCTTGGTACTGTTTTATGCACTGGAAATACAGCAATGAAAAAAAAAATTCCTGCCCTCATGTTGGGGCCCACTGGGGGAGGAGAATACAGTAAGAAGTAAGATAAATAAAGGATGTAGTATGGAAGAGAATACAGTAAGAAACTAGATAAATAATGGATGTAGTATGTTTGGTGATATGCATTTTGGAGAATGATAAATCAGAGAAGGAGGTAAGGAGATGGGGAGGATTTTGTGTGTGTGCCTAGGGTATCTGAGGGAAATTTTTAATCAGGGTAATCAGGAAGCCCTTGTGGAGAAGGTGACAACTGAGTCAAGACCTGGAGGACATGAGGAAGCCAACCATGCAGATATCTGCAGGAAGAGTGGTCCAAGCAAAAGGGATAGCAGGTACAAAGGCAGGACAGGCTGGTGTGTGGAAGGCAGAAGGGAGACCAGAGTGGCTGGAGCCAAGTGGGATGGAGAGGTTGTGTAGGACCATTGAAAGAGCTATGCTTGGATTCTGAGTGGAGAGCTGTTGATGGAGAGCTGTTGCAGGATGAGAATCCCAGCTCTGCCACTTCCTAGTGCTGGGCCTTGGGCATGTTACTGCACCTCTCTGAGCTTCATTTTCCTCCTCTGTAGAGTGGAGGAAACAGTGGAATCCATCCCATAAGTTTTTTTGTGAGGATTAAGTGAGCTATTAAATATGTAAGATATTGAAAGCTATGATACCTAGAAAGCTATTTTCTCTTACCTGTTTCTCTGAGCTTCCCATCCCCCTTTCCTTGTTTTCTCTCTACCCTCTCTGTGGCCCCCATTTGCCTTTTGCCCTGCCTCCCTCTGTCTCTGCCTTTAGTTTCCCATATCTCTCTTGTATTTTGAGTGGGGCGTGGTAGGTGTGGGATGCTGGCTTGTGGGAGAAAAACTCAAGAGTAATGGAGTATAGAGGCAGTGCAGTGGTTTTTATACTTAGGGAAAAATCCATGTGTGGAATTTTACTTGAAACCTCCTAATTTTAAAAGATTGGTTACTAATTAAAAAGATGTTTAAGCCCTATGAAGTCCCTTCTCCCCCCACCCCCAAAGTCCCATGTCCATGGGCCAATGACCCATGATCATAAATTTTCAACTTCTGATGTGATCCAAAGCCCTCACTTTTCAAACAGGGAAATTGAGACCCAGAGAGATGAGTAACATATCTTAAGTCATAAAGCTGATTAGAGCCAGAACTGGCATGCAGGCCTTCTGATTCTTCCAAAATTCTCCTTTGGCATCTGAAAGCCATAACAACGGACCTGTCAGCATCCCACTGGGATGAAAAAACCCTCAAACTGTGGGGACTTTGGACTTAGGGTAGGAAAGGTATCAGAACCCATCAGCTTCCCCTGTGACACCAGCCTCTTGGGGCCAGCCCTAAACAAGGGACTCTGGGCTCACAGCCAGATTTGTGTGTGTCTGGGGCTGGGGTGGGGGTGGGGAGGGAAGGCAACAAAAATCACCATGTCCCTGTAGAAAAATATGGAAATGCCTGTGCATTAAAGCCTTGTGTGCTGGAAGAGGGACTCCTGCCATGGGATCTGTGCTTTAGAGGGTCCCACTCTGGACCCCCTCTGTCATGTCCTCCCCACAGGATGAGGTCATTGCTCTCCCACAGCACCGAGGAGCAGGTCCACCAAGAGTTCACGCTTTATTCTAAACCACACTCTGGGCACCAAGATCACAGAATTCTCTGTCCAAACTGCATGGAGCCTGTTTCCAAAACACAGGCCCTATTCTGGATCTGTCAACCTGAGGGTAGACTGTGTCATGTATGTTTGGGGCCCCTGAGCTCAAGAGGTAGCTCGTTGGGGGAGCTCAGATGAGTAGCCTGGGCACAGCCTGAAGTAGGGAGAGAAGAGGATGGAGTGCCTGGGGAAGGATTTGGGGTGGAAGGGACCTTCTCCTGCCCTCTCACATTTTGTTTTGAACTCTTAAGGACCTAGGAATCCTAAATTCAAACCTGGCCTTCCAGATGGTCACAGAGGTATATTTTTTAAGGCAGGAGTATTAAACATTTTATTCACTGGTTTGTTGGTTATAACTAAAATACTTAGACAGGGAGTATATGGGCCTCCATGGGAACACTTGCTCCAGGCCCTGGCAGAGGTAGAGGCTGCCTTGGTGGCCAGGCTTTGCTCTCAATCCTGGGATCTGCAGCTCCCCCGTCGACGAGGGAATTGGCCTAATCATGTATGTCATTTTGTGCCTCATTTTTGAAATGTTTCATCCTGGAATGTGTGTAAGTGTTAAAATGAACAAATGATTGTAAGGGGCCGACTTGGAATGAATTCAGAGAATTGTTTTAAAGAAAATTGTTCTTTATCTTGGCACACTGTACTCAATAAATTTTAAAACATAATAATAGTTTTTGATAATAATTATAATTATTTGGAAAGGGCAGCTGCTACCCTGGAGATAGAAACACTGCTGCCAAGAGCTTTTTGAAAAATACAATGCCTTCTGATTTTTCGCGGATATTTCTACCTTTGAGGCCAGCTCAAACCCAGAACACCTTTCCTTCTGCAACTGGACCAGTTGGGAAAACAGTGGCCAGAAATCAGTCTTTCGTGGGGTCTGCAGTTGGCTAATGATGTCTTAGCTGGATCTTGCCTGATGGGTAAGATGGAAGCACAAAACCTTAGGGATGTTTGTTACCATCTTGGACTTTTTACTCTGTTGAGGTTTGACAGCTACTTAAAGATCATACAGCTGAGTGTCAATGGCCAATTAAACAAAAGGAAACCCTCAACTCTGAAAATTGATTGTGAGCCTGATGTTGGAATCATATTTGTTTGGATTTCCGATGTATTATTATTTTTGCATTGCTTTGTCGCTGGTCTTAGGTTTGGTGTAGTACTAGGTGGGTGTAAGCCTTGGTTGTCCAGGCAGTTCCTGATGATTGCTGTGGTGGATGGAAGCAGAAAGTGAGTGAAAGGCTGGATTACTCCCTGCTTCTCAGCTAATTGTTTCAACTCTCTCCCTCCTTAGAGCTTTCTTTCATCTTTTTTTTTTTTTTTTTTTTAAACCAGCATTGCTTATATAACACAGAGCTGGGTTGGGCTTTTTCCTTTCTTTTTCCCTCTGATAAATATATTACCAGATAGCAAACTGGTTTCAGGTAGGAAGAAGCAGGAAGCCTGAAGAATTTGTTTACTTAATAATCAACTCTTTAAGTAATTCATACTGATAGCCTGGTCTCCTCGTCAGCAAAATGTGGATATCATGCCCACTCCGTGGAGTTATTGTGAAGATCAAGTAATACTGTATATGTAAAGTCTTGGCACTACTGACAATTGGGGCTGGATAATTTTTTTGGAGGGGTCATTGTCTTGTGCCTTATAGGATGTTTAGCAGTATCCCTGACTTGTACATACTAGTACCAGTAGCACTCCCCTTCGCCCAGGTTGTGACAGCCAAAACGGTCTCCAGACATTGTCAAATGTCTCTTGGGGGACAAAATTGTTCTTCCAATTGAGAATCATGGCTTTAACATAATGCTGGCACAAGCACTTGAAGTACTGTGGCTTTTATTGTTAAGGGGGAAGTGGGAATAAGTGAAGAGGTCAAGTAAGCTACAATTGCAGCGTGGCTAATGGACTTGGAAATTAGGAGATTACTGGTGACCTCAGCAAAGAGTGTTAGTAGTTAAGGATGGACGAGGGGTGAGAAAGTGGAGAAGCAAGGACTAGAAGATTATGGCTGGTCTTACTCTTTTAAGATTCATTATATATAGCACTATTCACAAATTTTAATGAGCTTTTGAACTTCTTACAAAGTATTGATTTATCTTGGTCTTTATAGTTTATTCAAGCATCTCTGAAAGTGAGTGCATAATTTATTTTGTGAAAAGCAGAGGTACAGAGAGTAGTCAGGTCCCCATCAGCTATGGCATACATCTGGCTTCACTGATACTCAGTCCCTCAGTGCTGAGCTACATTCTGCCTGGAATGTTTGTGGGGTGCCTCTTTGGCACTCAGTTCCATACCAGGCATGTTAGGAAGATACTCATCAAGGATTACCAGGTTTTAATTGTTTGTTCCCTTTCCTTAAGAATATTGAATTAGGCAAAAGCCAAACATAAAAAAAATCAATCTCCTTCTGAAGACAGTGGTCACCATCTCTCCTGTTTACTACCGTGTGCAGGGTACTAGTATTTTACACATATTATCTCATTTTAGTATTTATAGCAGCCCTGAAGTTTGATATTGATATCCCTTTTTTATAGATTAAGAAACTGAGTCAAAGAGAGGTTCAGTAACTTTCTCAAGATTATATAATGTGTAGGGGGCTGTATTGAGCCTAGCTTTGATTTTGGGTCTCCTTAAATATCAAACTCACAACTTATTTAATGTGTCTATGCTGGGGGTGGACATTGATGTATGGAGTCGTTTCCAATTAGAGAAGGTTTTTCCTAAACCCAGAACAGAACACCTTAAAAGCAGGGTTCTGTGACCAGATCTTCACTTGCATCAGATCCCTGTCTTCTGCCATCAGTTACATCCTGACCTCTAGTCTACAAAGATTTTCTGGTTCTGGGCTTCAGTGTAGACTTTCTATATTGTCTGAAAAAGTTAATAATTATAGCTAAAATTTATAATCATTATCATATTTAAACCTCACAACAACCTGATAAAGGAAGTAGGTGCTATTATTACCCCCATTTTGCAGATGAAGAAAGTAAGTAATAGAAAGGTTAATTATCTTGCTGGGGTCATACAACAATAAATGGTGGAGCTGATTCAACCCAAGATCTACCTGTTTCTAGACTTTACATTCTTAACTACTCCACTGTTGAGGTGAGGGAGACAAACTTGAAATGGAGACTCATTTTAAAAC